CTGTGTTGCGGGGAGATGCGTGGGGGATTGAGGAGGCCTCGGCAGCCGAGCGCCGGTGGGCCGGTCCCACATGAGCCGGCCGGCGGGGCAGGGAGGTCCCGGAGGGTGTCCGGGCGGGCGGGCGGGCGGGCGGGCGAGCGGGCGGGGCTGCGCGCCCCGGGCGGCAGGCTGGTGCCCTGGCGATTGCGTCTCCCCTCCTGGCGGCGCGCCGCCCCCCCCCCCCCCCCCCCCCCCCCCCCCCCCCGGGCGTGTTGCGTCCTGTGAGGCGCCCCTTCCGGGCTGCCCCTCGCTTGGCCCGTCGGCTCTGCCTCGCGCCAGTCAGTCTTGACAAGGGGGGACGGCCGGCGGCGGTGGATCGCGTTCGGGCGGTGGAGGGGACGGCGCCGCCGTTTGCGGTGGCATACTTCCAGATCCCGCGCCCCCCATTCCCGGGATGCGGGGGGGGGGGGGGGACCCTACACCGGGCCCCTGTTTGCCCGGGGTTCCGACGGGGCTGCTTCCCCTCTGGGGGGGGGGGGCTGGCGCCGGGCGCTCGGTGCCTAGCGCCCGGCGCGCCCCCATGCCTGCGCGCGTGCCGGCCGCGGGCGTCCCATTCCGCGCCAGGTGGGCCCGACGCCGGTACACGCGCTGGTCGTTCAGCCGGCAAACCAAAACACAACCGAGCCTTCAACCCCCCCTGGCCGCCATAGCCCCTCCGTGCGGGGGAGGTGTGCGCCGGTGGTGCCCAGCACAGGTGAGCGGGAGAATCACCCGGCGCGGCGTGTGTTTGTTGAGATGAAGGGGGGGGGGCGGGGGGCCGGGCTGTGTGGCCTCGGGTGGCTGCTGCTGCTGCTGCCGCCCCGGGGGAAGAGGTCGCCCCTCGCCGCAGGCCGGCTTCTCGCCCGTCCCCCTGGTCCGCGGCCTCTCCTCTCCGGTGGCCCGGGCGATTCCGGTGCTTCGGGCGCCGCTCGCCGGTCCCCAGCCCCCGGGGGGGGGGGGCGGGGGGGAGACGGCGAGGCTGGTGCCCTCGGGGCTGAAGTCGCGCGGTGGCCGGCGCGGCCCCCTCGGTTGCACCGGCCGTGCGGCGGCCCCGGCCCTTGCTGGGGTGCCTGCGCCGGGTCGGCCTCGCCATGCCTCGCGCCGGCTGGCCGGATTTGAAGCGGCCCGCTCGCCCCGGGGCGCCATGGGCAGGGGAGCCGCGGGCGAAGGCCCCGCGATCCGGAGGAATTGGCCCTCGGCCGGCGCGGGCCGGCCCGGGGACATGTATATGTGTGTGCCCTTGGTTGGTGCGGCGTGGCCGGCCAAACTCGGCCAAGCGAGCCTCCCCCCACCGGAGGCGGCCTGGTGGCCCTGGCTGGCTGTGGTGGGGGTCGCTCGGTGTCGCGACACGGGCCGCGGGCCGCGACCAGGATGCCCGTGTGCCCGCGGTCATCATGCTGGGCACGCCGAAAGCAGGGGGGGGGTCTGCGGTCTGGCGGTGGCCGGACGCGGGCGCCCGCGCGTACGCACCCCAACACATCCCCAAAAGCAGGCCAGCCGCCATTTCGGCGGCAGGCCCCCCCCCCGTGTGTGTGTCTCTCTCTCTCTCTCTCCGAGCGGCCGGGCGGGCGGGGGGGCACGAGAGCGAGGACGGTCTAGCCCTCCGAGGGCAACCGAAAGTTAGCCCCCACCCTCGGCGTTCGGCGGATTCCTGGGCGTCTGTTCGGGGATCGGCTCGCCGTTGCGGCCGGCGCCCGGCGGCACAGAGGGACAGAAAGCCTGGCGGCCCGGCCGGAGCCTCTGGCCTACCAGGCCAGACCAAGGTCCATGCGTACCCCCCCCCCCTCCCCCGGTGGGCGGGCAGCCGGGCGCGGGAGCCGGACGGCAGCCGGAGCCTCGCCCACGGCCGGGCCGGCACGCCCGCCCGCCCGCCCGCCCGCCCGCCCGCCCGGAGGCCTCCGGCCAGGCGGCTGGGGCTGTGGGCGGCATCACCTACCGCGCGCGCAGGCGTCGATGCCAGCCCCCGCCGGGAGCGCTGGTTGTCCCATTTTCCGGGACCGCGCGCCCAGCCCCCTCTCAAACCCAAACACCGGCGATTGTTTTCTGTTTTCTCGCACCCCCGGACGGCGAACCGCCCGGGCGCGTGCTGGCGCTGCGGCCCTCGGGCGTGCTGCGCTTTCCGGTGCCACCCCCCGGGGGGGGGGGGACACGGGACACGCCGGTGGCGGCGCGGCGCGGCGCGGCGGGTCCGCGGGGTGTGTGTAGCCGGAACCCGGGCGCCGGGGCGGCGTGGAGCGCGCGCGCGCGCGCGCGTAGGGCGGGGGGCGGGGGAGGCACGTTCGCCCGAGCCCCTCCGCGGAGGGCCGGGGGACGCGCGACCCCCAGTTGCCCCGAGGGGGGGACGGGGTGCTAAGCCCGTGGCCAGACGCCGGGCAGACACCGCGCCCGGGGGTCGACGAACTCGTGCACCCGGCGCAGCCGACTCGCGCGAGGCCGAGGAGAGAACGAGAGCGAGGCAGGCAGAGGCAGGCAGAGGCAGGCAGAGGCGGGG